AGAATTATTAATAGCAAATACCAGCTTCTCCGCGATTTCGTCCCAATCTTGCTGTAGAGAGTCTGCCCCGTCCACTCGCACGGAACCCATCACCGACTTCACCGAGCGTTCCTGCTATCCATTAGCCTGCGTACGATAGCTCAAAGTCGCTCGTGACCTTGACTGCATCATCTCCGCGAATTCTTGAAACACTTCGCTCATCAAGCTTGGGTCGCGGTAGTACCTGATCAATGATGGGGCTCCGAACTGTCGGTACACACATTCTTCGAGCACTTGAGCAACCCTCAGCGCCGTTGTATCCGACATATCCTTGGCAATAACGAATCCCGTGAACGAGCATTGAAATAGGAGCGACGCCGTGTTGTTCCTGCGAGATTTCGGTAGTCGGATCACCAAATCCATCGAGACGATCTGGAACGGTCGTTCGGCTAGTACGTTGCCAGGTGAGTATCCACGAAGCTGCGGACGGCTTTTACTCGAGCTACAATCTGGACATGACTTCACATGCTTCTCCACGTCAGCGTACAAGCCGATCCAATAATAATCGGACTTAACGCGATGGAACGTTCTCACCACACCTTGATGTCCTCCTTCCAGCGAGTCGTGACAGTTCTGCAAGACCTCTTGAATCATCGTTGTCGGTACCACAAGCCGCAGCTTGGTCTCCTCTTGCCAACCGTGGTCGTACCGACGATTCAATCCAAGATAGTGAAGCACGCCGTCTTCTGATAACACGAACCGGTCAGCATACTTCCAGGCATCTCGAGCTTCTTTGTAACTCAGCTCTTCTGCTTGGCCCTGAAGCACCTTCTTGATGTTAAACCACTTCTGCTCTTCGTCTTGTGCCACCATTATCCGTCTGCGTCGTTCCCGCTGTATTGCTACCGGATCAACATCCTCCGCATCTGGAAATGCCGCTGGTACAGTCTTGTGAGGATGGTCCGGCAAATCTTCGCCGATTGAATCTTCGGTGGACGTCTCTCGTCGTTCTTCATGCTGTTCTTGAGCTTTTGAGACCTCCTCCAAGTGTTCATCTGCAAATCTGACGCGTTTCTTGGCTTTCGTCTGTTGCCTAGTCATCACTGCCATATTACCATAATCATACTCTGATGAGCTGTAATTAACCACGAAATTTTCCAAAGCTTTCCACTTTGAAGACTCGCTGCCTGACAGCTCATGTACTTGACGCTCTGCTCCTCGTGACGAAACATCTACCGAGTCTTCATCCGGCTCGTAGATCATTTCCTGGATGCGATTCAGCGACGCCAATTCCGACTTGCGAGTTTCAGCCAAGATGACACAGCTGACCTTTGATTCCAGCGCTCTGCGGCAGCGTTGTATTCTCGTACAACGTGAAGATATTTAACTGATCGAAGCTTGGCCGCGAGTTCTTTGTGAGTATTCAGCAGCGCTAGCAAAGTTTCCTTCCTGCATGCAATCACCCCTAGTGATTGTTGAATCGCGAGCCTTGAGTCACCAACGATGACTAAATCCTCGGCACCGTGCGCAATAGCAGCCTTGACACCGTTTATCATACCTGTATACTCTGCTTCATTTACCGTGGTGGCCGAGAGGTAAGCGTTTGCAGCAATCACTATCTTCCACTCAGGAAGGCTCCACAGCACCCATGAACAACTCCCGTAGCCACCGTACTTCTCTGTCTTCGCTGATCCGTCAAAGGACATGACAAATCCGCTGTAATTACGGGGAAGCCTGGCGTACAGCAACGCGGGGTCCATTCGAATAGTCGGGGAACCCTTGTTTGGAGGTGCCACCGGCGCGAGCGAGTCTTCCAGGTCGACGAAGCTCGTGATGCTTGACTGCAGTAGCTGCGCGAAGGCGACATCTTTCTCCTTCACGCGCTGCACCTTCAGGTGCCACTGCGATAGCAGCACTGCGAACTGGACTGCACGTCCGAAAAGAGACTTCGACTTATGTACCCACTCTAACGTCGAGAATCGTGTATAGATATGTAGCGTCTTTCCTGCCAGCTGAACGTAACAGATCTTCAACAGCAGAAGTAACGCCAAAACTTCCTTCTCGGCAGAATGGTAGTTCATCTCGGCCTCCTTGAGCACACGACCGAGGAACCGTACGGGGTGTAACTTGCCTTCATGTTCTTGCATTAGCGCTGTGCTCAGCGCCCATTCATTCGCAAAGAGCATGACATGAACTTACTTTAACCGGTCGAAGTGCCTTAGGATGGGTGAATGTGAAACACTCGTCTTCAATTTTTCGAAGGAACGACGTGCCACAGAAAGACCGCCTTCAACGGCAAAGTCCTCTTCATTGAGCTGGTACAGCGCCGCACCGTAAACCGCAAAGTCTTGAATGAAGCGGCTGTAGTAATTAACCGCTCCAAGAAACGACTACATGCCCTTCTTACTTGTTGAAAATGAAAGCTCAGTGATGGCCGCAAGCTTCTTGGGGTCACCCCTGATACCTTCTGGCGAAATTTTATGCGACAGAATGTCCACCTTGGGCTGGCAGAAGATGCTCTTGGTGAAGCTAATGCTGATCCGAGACTGTTCAAATCTTGCCAGCAATCGGTCCAGCGTCGCCAGGCAGCTGTCAAAATCCTCGCCACCGAAGCA